TCAACTTATAAAACAAGTTTAGAAAGTATCACATTTTCTTATGGTAGTAAGAATACTGTGCATGTCTTTAGAGCTAAAGGCAGAATTGGTGCTATTTGAGAAGTTAAAGCCATAGTCTCTCAACTTTGTCACTTCCAAGCTATCAGTTTTGCACTCCTCTTATTACTCGGGTTTCAAAGCACACTTTAGTTTAGCCCAATTTTATCTTGCATTTTTTGGGTAGATCCAAACAGTCTGTGCCACAGACGTAGCAATCGATGGCTTTACTCATCACTGAGTTAGGGACCAAAACACTGTTTTGATTTGGATGTTAACACTTTCAGAAGAGAGAATATGGATTTAATTGTTTACCATAAGAAAAGTGACAGAGCCAACCAACCATCCATCCCCACCTGTGCCCTATTCTTTCCTTGTGTTTCTTTAGAGCCTTTTCAGCTATTTCCTGTGAAGCAAACTGCACGAAGGCCTCCCCCGTACTCCTCCCCTGGAAGTCCACCGGCAATGTTATCCCATTTGGCACGATTTCCAACCCTTCAACCCAAGGACAAATAACCCCAGTAGGGGGGCAATATTAACATCACAAGCCCAGTCATGAGTTTTTTCTTATAGCTTTAAAAACACCAGAATTTAAACACTTTTAAGTGAATGGTATGTTGATTCTAGAACACCAGAAGAAAAAAAGGCACGTCAACAAAGAGCTCCACGATCACATACCATTCAGTTCAGGTTCTTAACCCACCCTGCAGAGCACAGAAATGCTCTGAGTGTCAGGAACAACTCCTCAGAGAAGGCATCTAATGCAGGGTGCATTAAGAACCTCACATATTATTACAAACCTCTTCAATTCTGTGAAAGTATTTAAGACGAACTTTTTAAGAGAACTTAAATTCAAACACAGCAAATTAAACAGTTTTATATAGAACAAGTAATTTTACTAGAAGTCACTCAAGTAAAATAATTAGTCTTATGCAAACATCAAGTTTCAGCATTTTTTTTTTTATCTTTAGGAGTGCTTAATTAAGAAAAAAATCATGAAGTAATTTTAAAGTATTAGTTCCTGAACAGAAAAGGCACATTTTGTATATTAAGCACATTAACAGTTTTTAAAGCTTGAATTACTTCACCAAGTAAGAAAAAAACAGCTTAAAACGCACATGCTTAGAAATTGCTTGTTCATATCACTGATTCAGAAAACAAAAAACAAGTCCTGAAGTTGTAAAATTGGAAATATTTCTACTGTATTTTAAAGCAAAACAGTAAGTTCAATTATATCTTGTTATATCAAAACATTTAGAAATCTACTATTTTGAAAATACTATCAAAATGAAATCCTAAAGAAATCAATAGCTTTTATTCGAATATTAGGCATTTTAAATAGTTTGTAATTCCAGTTTCTAAAACATACAATAGCTGCAAAAAAAGTAAAAATTAGTCAAAATAAGACATTATCTCTTCATCCACAAAAACTCTGAGCTAGGCAACATCAAGGGTTTTTTTCTTTCCCCATAGAAAGAGAAGGGGGCAAATCTGGAAATCTGTACTTGGGTAGAGTTCAACAGGTTGTTTTTCTCTGGAATTTCATTCAATACTAGATCTATGCTTGGAAGAAGCCATGGGCACAATGCTCAGATCCTGCTCCTCACAAAGAGTCCAGAGGTGAGGGTGTTGTACATCCTTCACTGACAGGGTAAAGCAGCAGAGACTGGGGGTGGAAATATCCTCTCACCTGAATTGTTCACTTTAATTTGGAAGGCAAGACACTTGTTTTCTGCAATCCTTACATGGAACAATATGTCCCACTAAGTATATATTCAAGTAGCTCTTTGGCATTCCCTAAATTATGGTCAGGTACTTCAGGATTGATCCAATGGATCCCTCAAGCACATATAACTAATAAAAAATTGGTTTATTTAGTTTTAATACCCATAAATACTGTTGGAAGGACTACAGGGCAATCCGTACTTCTTTGGTTTGTTGGGGTTTTTCTTTTAGTGTAAACCAATAGTGCTATAGCTACTACTTTTATCCCACATACCTGAAAAAAACTGTACAATTTCTTCTTTACTACAGCCAAATGGGAGTCCTCTAAGACGTACAAAACCATCATTAGCTGTATCAGGGCTGTTGGGACCAGTATGCTTCAGAACCCAATCCATTTCAACGTTGTTTGACTTGAAAACTGTAAAAGGCACTTAGAATTAATGCATTCTGGAAAAAGCAAGGGTTTTAAAAGTCATTTGCCTTGAAACTAGTCAACTTATGATATACAAGTCCATTTGTCCTTCCACATGCATTTTAAAGAGATAGAGAAATGATCATCCAAAAACCCATCAAGCACAAACACATGTAAGTCAGTTACTAGACCAACTGAGTCAAACCTTCAACATATCTGTGTCCCATTGTTTCTCTGTCTTTTTTCAGGGCCAATTTCACATCCTCCTCTGATTCAAGTTCAGCAAATGCTTCTCCACTTGGCCTGCCCTCCCTGGTGTAGATGAAACGGATACCAAGAGCCCCGTTTAGAATTTTGCAATCTGAAAATGAAATAGGAAGGCCAGAATTAATTTAGTTATAATAGGAACATTGTGACTTTACAAGGTGCATATATTCTAAAAAGAAAAATGTAACAACAACTATCAAGTTGTATCAAGATGACAAAACCAGCAGTATTCTTGTTACAACATTACAATGACCAAAGGGACTAACTAAAATTAAGTTACTCTTCTAGTCAAACCTACAGATTAGCAACTACAAGTTACCTATCCATTTTCAAAGCTTCTCTGCCTCAAGTTAAATGCACTATCTGCTTTTGATCTTAACTTTCTCACCAGCTTAAAAAAATAAACAGTAATAGCAATCAGTGCAAGTGTAATAAACTAAATCAGAACCAAGTCCAATTCATCAAATTCCTGAAGCAGCTTTAAAATCTCCAGCCACTGCAGAAAGTATGTGTTTCTTACTACTATTCATTACTGCAGAATGCTACTACTTCGGGGCAAGGACACACACAGTGAACACTTCATAAGAAAGTCTGTTAGGACAACACAGACAATTAAACTGATTTAGTTTAATCTCAAGCAAGAATTTTGAAGTTTTCTTTAAATGGAAGATTCTCTTTCCTGGTTGCTCAAGCAGCGAAGGCAACTGTGGCCATCCCAGCAACGTGCAGACTAAACCCCTTTGTGCAGAGTTCCTGCTCACACAAGCACAGCTTTGCATACCAGGCCCTGCCTGAAGCACTTGTTGCATTACAAACTTCACTGGCTCCTGAATGATTCCTGCTGCTGCTCCCTGCAGCGTTCCTACCGGCACAGAGTCCCTGGGAGGGATGCAGGGTCCAGACAACAGAGCCCGGCCTCTCTCTGACACCCCCACAACCCCCAGCCCTACTTACCAGAGAAGAACCTCTGCACCTCCTCGGTGGAGCAGGACCAAGGCAGCCCCCGGACTTTCACCACGTATCCCTCGCTGCTCTCCGTGTTGAGCATCACGTTGGGGGTGAGGCTCTGCTCTGTCTCGGCTTCTGTGGTTGCTGGAGAAGATCAGAACGGGCCCTTTGAGACTCGTGCTCAGTACGGCCGCCACCCGCACCCCCTCAGAGCGCCCGGCGGCCCCCCTGGCCTGTGCCCTGGCCCTCCCCGAGCCTCCTCTGCCTCGGGCGCTGCCGCCTCACTCTCACGGCGCCGCTCCCGCCCCCGGCCCGCGCCCTGCCCCTTCCCCGCACGCACACATGGTGGGGCTCCGCGCTGGTTCTAGGGCTCCGAGCCTGATCCGCTGTCCGGAGAGCGCCTAGTCCCGGTCAGGCGGCAGCGAGCGGGCGAGCCTGTGGCGAGAGCGCGCTAGGAAATGGCGGCGGGTGCTCCCGCTTCCGCTGGGCCGGGCCTTCCCCCGCACAAAGAGCGCGGGCCCGGACGCCGCCCTGGCGGGCCCGCGGGCCCCCGGCGATGGCGCAGCGCCCGCGGCGGGTTCGGGGAGAGCGACGTGTGTGTGCGCGTGCGTCTGTGTGTGTGTGTGGAGCGGGCACAGAGCACAGGGCACCGAGCGCCTCGGGCCCCGCGCTAGTCACGGTCACGAGAGGAGCGGCTGCAGCGTGGCCGGATCGTGCGCGTGCGCGCTGGGCCCGGTGGGCCCGGCCCCGCCCCCGGGACTCCCCGCGCGCGCCGCCGCCTGTCCGCGCCTGTGCGCACGCGCCGCCCGCCCGCCCGCGCGCCGAACAAAGCCCCGGCCCCGCGTGCCCCGAGCGCCGCTCTGCGCATGCCCCGCACGCCCTCAGCCCCCCCTCACCCTCACACCGCCCGCCCGGGCCGGTCCCGGTGCCGACACTCGGCCCGCACCGACAGCGAGGGGGCTCTGGCTGCACAGAGAGGTGTGTGGGAACTAGCACTTACCAGCTTCAAATGCTGACGCTACCCCACGTGAAACAATCTGCTCGCTTCGGTCACTGAAGCCTGGTGTGTTTGGAGGAGATGGGGAGAGAAGAGACAATGGGTCACAATTATCATAAAAGAAAGGAAAAGTTTACTCCCTCCCGTCTCCTCCAAACACACCAGACCTGGCTAGATTTCACCCTGAATCTCGTAGCTGGAGGCAGGAGTTACAGGAGTAAGCCACCATCTAAAAATCCTCCATGCCCTCTCCTTCCACTGGAAAGAACAAGCAGCTCATGTTTCAACTTGCCCACGCAGGGGGTAGAGGACTCGTGCCCAGAGATGAGCGGGCTCCATAAAGCCCCTGACACAGGTTATTTGGAGCCCAGAAGCTGCTCAGAGCTGCCTTTGGATGAACATCATTCATCCATACGTGTTTCTTCTCCAGTTAGTACCAAAAAGGACTGCAAACCTACACGGCCTCATCTCTCATGTAAGTCCTTGAGGTGTTTACTTTAAAAACACCGATCTGGACCACTAACTACCAAACCGCCACAGCTGGAGGATTTTTGAAAAATTAAAAAAAAAACAAACCAAAACAAAAAAACCCTGCATACTCAGGATACTTCTGTAAATCGAGCACACGGCGCAGTCGCTTGCACTAATGCAAATCTGCTCAGTAAGTGGAACTGCGTTAGTCACTTCCTGCACAAAGCTGCCCTGCCCCATTTCAGCCGCCGAACGCCCATTTCGGAATCCCGCGGCAGCAGGAACGGGGTACGAGGGGCGGCGGGAAGGGGCAGCGCCTCCGCCTCTTCCCGGGGAGCGGCCATCCCGCCCACCGGCGGGCGAGATACTTAAAACTGCGCGGGAACCGCCGAGAGCCCCCTGGGCTCCCGCTCCGCAAAGCCATGTCCACCCCAGCCAAGCGGCACTGCCAAAGCCCCGCTGGCTCCCTCGACTCCAGCTTCCAGAAGCGCCTCAGAAAAGTTTCCATCGAGGGGAACATCGGTGAGCTCGGCGGCGCGGGATAGGGGCCGGCCGGGGGGTCAGCACAGGAGCGCGCCGAGGGGCTGGGATGGCGGAGGAGGAGGGGAGAGGGCAAATGCGGGGCTTGTCCGCCCGGCTCTGCGGGCAGCGAGGGGCTCTGCAGGGAGAACGGGGCCGGGACCACGTCGGGAAACCACCGCCACGGCCGGGTGCCCGTCGGTGCCCCCGAGGCGCAGGGAGACTGGAGATGAACTCCGCCGGGCTGCGCTGCCCGTTCGCTCCCGCCCGCGCCAATTCCCGGCGCCTGCGCGGCCGCTCCCGCGCTCCCCCCGCCGGCCGCGCCGAGCTCCGCCCGCCGCCAAAGCTCCTAAAATGTCGGCTCGGTGTCTTATCGCCCGCCCGGCCCGGGCGCGGCCCTTCTGGTGCCGCAGATTAGCGCTGTTTTCCCCCCGGGAGCCCCGCGCCCCAAATGCCCCTCACAAACCTCACCGCTGCCCCTGTACCCGTCACCTACCACCGCTCTGATCAACCCTTAGTGAACTTCTCACATCTCCTGCAGCTGCAGGGAAGTCAACGTTTGTGAGGCTGCTGGAGAAGCACAGCGATGAGTGGGAGATCATCCCCGAGCCCATCGCCAAGTGGTGCAATGTCCAGACAGCCGAGGATGAATATCAGGTAGGTGAGCGAGATGTGGGTCAGGACAACCAAACTGCAAGGTGTTTTGTGACGAGGGAGCTATGCCAAAATCCAACTGTACTTAGTCTGCAGTAGCCAGAGTCGTCCCCACTATCACACCAGGTGGTCAGGCACTCAGAAATGTTAAGGCAAGATACCACTGAACGTATATTCCAAATCACATCCCTACTCCACAGAATCACACTAAAATGTGGAACTCGACAAACAACCTACTTAAAGAAGCCGTTATGACTACTACAATCACCTGACAAAAAAGCGTCTTTGATCCTATGCCTAAGCGTTTTCCTTAAAAAAAAAAAAAAAAAAACACACAAAAAAAGCAAGTCTATGAATTCTCACTTTAACAAACCAGAATTCCAGATTGAGAAAAGGGAATAAAATCCTGCAAATATGCTGGTATTGAATTTTTTTCCCTTGCCTTCTAGGAACTTTCAACATCTCAGAAGAGCGGAGGAAATCTGCTTCAAATGCTGTACGACAAACCCACAAGATGGGCTTACACCTTTCAGACTTATGCTTGCTTGAGCCGAGTAAGAGCACAGTTAAAACCAGTCTCAGCAAAGCTACACGAAGCAGAACATCCAGTGCAATTTTTTGAGAGATCTGTGTACAGTGACAGGTAATTATTCTCACAGTACAGCAAGAACTCACATTAATAGCTCTAGGTCTTTAAAGACATAGAGCTGGGTAAACACTTGATATTAAAATAATATCTGCAGGGAGCAGGCTTGATTAAGGGCAGACATTTTTTCAGTACCATGGTTCTGTTCTAGTGACAAGTGTTTTGGTAGTTCATTTTTGTCATTCCTGGCATGAGACTGCTGTCTTTCATTGCAGATATGTATTTGCTTCTAACCTGTTCGAGTCTGGGAACATTAATGAAACAGAGTGGTCTATTTATCAGGACTGGCACACATGGCTCTTGAATCAGTTTCAATCAGATATAGAACTGGATGGCATGATCTACCTCAGAACCACACCTCAGGTATGCTCACTGAACGTGAAAGTTTTTCAGTTCCAACTTCATTTTCAAGGGGTTTAAGAGGGTACAAAAAAGTTATTACAGACTTAACTTGTTTATGTTCAGCCAAGCATTTAAAATTAATGCTCACTAATGTCCAGCATTAGTCCTCCTGAGTTAAGGACCACTTGATCCTTTGAGCTGATTTAACCTACAGCACATGATTAATGACCACATTTATACTTCTTTTTCCAGAAATGCATGGAAAGGCTACAGATGAGGGGAAGAGAAGAGGAACAAGGAATTGAGCTTGAGTATTTGGAAAACCTCCACTATAAACACGAAACCTGGCTCCATGAAAGGACTATGAGGTAGGAACCCATTTTCTGTAGCAAGTTTCAACTTGCAGGCAAGGTTCTTCCAGCTTTATACTAAAGTTGATAAAACCAAAGTTTAAGTCTGCTAGCTTCACTCAGGCACACTTGAAAGGATTTATTTTTAGACCCACTTCTCAGTTTTCAAAGATGGAACTTCATCTAATTTGAAACCTTTGTTAAGCATTAGCTCCAACTAGGAGGCTTTATAGCTGTAACTCCAGCAAGGATATGGATTTTGCTAATTGGAAGGGCACAGGAATAGGGCAGATAAAATAGTGTTCAATGGCCAATCACAGAAGTCACTTACTAAGCAGCTTTGTGTTCCAGTGCATGGGGGGGGCAAGGTCCCAACTACCTTTAAACTTGCAGGACTATATTTCAACAAAGTTTAGTTTATTTTGAAGCCAGGATTAATATTTAATCAGAAAGGCTTTTGGCAGACACTGTTACACACAAGAAATCTAATCAGCAACTGAGTGATCTCTGCACACCTTGCCCCAACTTCCTTATTCTTACCATCTTTCCCATCTAAGGGATCTCTAAACATGAAAGCAGACTTCAGGTTTTCCCCTAGAGGAGCCCAAAATACTCCACTGACTGAGAAGCACTACAATTCTAGGAAAAGTACATTATCAGTCACATCTACTTTCCTAAGTTTGATGTAGGATTACCCAAATGCTTTGGAGACAGAAGGCAGCACATAGTGTGGAATTTTGGGAATGCTTATGTTGTTTACTCATTCCAAACTTGTAAGCAAGCATTTCCTGTGTTTTTCACAGAATCACTTGAAGTCTGCAAGCACAAGTTAGAATGTTGTTCAGCACACTTACTACATTTCCACACTTAGAAGAATAACTACTGCTTGAAGAGAAAAACATCCAGTTGCACAACTACTGCTCCCATCTGTTCTTAAACTGAAGCCAAAATGGTCTTGCTTATCTCTAAGACATTTTAAATATCGGTCTTATAACCTGATAAAGAGGCCATCCCCATGCAAGGAAGCTTTAAAAATGCATATTAGTAAATGGATTAGGTGGGGGAAGACTCAGGGTGATACAAGCTAAAGTAAAAAACAAACTATCTTTTCCTCCCACTTGTACAAAACAAATAGATACTAAGAGCCCAGATTTGTGAACTCTATGGAAGTTGTGGTGATACCATGTTGACTGGGTTACACAAGAGCAATTAAGGACAAACTTGACTTGGGCTTTACACTTATGTCATGGCCATCAGCATTAACATCTCAGGTGCAC